GGCAGCTTAGGTGTCCAATATCCCAAGAGCCCCTCATGCCAGGTTAGGCACCTGTCTTTTAAGTCTCTGTGGTAGCCAGCACATAGCTCTCTCATTACCCTTACCATGTTATTCTTTAGTTATTCTTTAGTGTCTCTAGTACGAGGGGTGAAGTCATTGAGGGCAGAATCCACACATAATCTTGCATATATTTTTAGTGCTTCAGTACTTAAAATGTCCTCAGTTTCTATTTGTTAAACTCAACTTCAATGTGTACCCTTTTGTACTATTTTCAAAGTCCAAAGCCAATCCTGAGGAATGAGCAAGGGAATGGGAGAGAATGTCTACAATGAGGCTTAAATGAGGCAGATGCTCACTCAGTTCTCTTAGAAGAGGAACCCCACTTGAGCCCTACCTTTCAAGCTCTAAATGCAAGTCTAGGGATCAAGTCCCCATTTTCAATGCCTCAGAGCCTGGGTGAAAGAAAGAAATAGGATAATTTACACACCACTGATTAGAAAAACAATGAAACATATAATTGATGGATGAATGAACTGCTTTTGCAAAAGGCAAAGGGATAATTTTGGGACCTCTAGAAAAAGAGCAAAATGGTAGCCTGCCTTTTCTGCTTCCATATACACACATCTTGAACACTACAGTCACCAAGGTACCAGAAGAAAGAATAAAGCAAAATCCCATGAGAAGTAGGATGAAATGTTTAGGCATGCAGATCTTACCAGGTGATGGATGACCCATCCTCCACGATGCTATTGATCTCTTCCCGGCATTTCTCCTGATGCTCAGGGTTCTGAGCCAGGTGGTAGAGGAGCCAGGAAATGCTCCCTGCCACAGTGTCTTGCCCTGCCACCATGAATGTGTTCACCTCGGACCGTAGGTCAGTATCTGAGAAGCTGTCACCATTTTCATCCTAGAAAGCAGAGTAGAGACCTTTTTGTGCAATGTCAGTTTATAGATGTTTGCAGCCCCAATGAATTAATGGTTTTAGGGGAAAAAAATAGAGTTTTCAATGAGAAGTTCAATTTTTAATTCAGTGTAACAAATGTGTACTATGAGCCATATTTTGCCCAGAGCATAAAGGAGGACTAAAGTTAGCTAAGGAAATCAGGCCTTGTAAAGACTTCCTCCAATCATCCTGCCAGATTTATCCAGATTTTCCAGCACCGCCTCATCATCATTTCACCAGCTTACCCTGTGACCCATTCTCCTGTGTTTTCCTGAATTACCATATATCTTTATGATAGTCACCAAATGCTGTCAAATCAGTAAAAAATTTAGCCTTATCTGACTCCCCCTAGTGACAGAGTTGCAGAATTCTGTCTTTACCTAAAAGCCTATGGAGCTACACAGAAACTGTAGTACATTAATACAATGGGGTATTACTTGGCCGTAAAGAAGAACGAAGAATTATAATAGATATGTATGATATCGGGTGTTGGGGGGCCAGTGGATTGGGGGAGGGGGGTTGTCACTTTGTGAGGGGTGAAAAGCATAACTATTGCATTGTTTTGTACACCTAAAACTATTAATTAAAAAAATGAAATCTTACCATTTGCAACAATATGGATGCATGTAGAGAACAGCATGCTAAGTGCAAATAAGTCAGAAGGAGAAAGACAAATACCATATGATTTCACTTATATGTGGAATCTAAAGAATAGAATAAATGAGCAAACTAAACAGAAATAGTCTCAGAGACATAGAGAAAAAAGTGATGGTTGCTAGATGGGAGGGAGGTGGGAGGAGGAAGGTGACGGGATTAGAAAGCACAAATTGGTGGCTACAGTATTGTCACGGGGATATGAAACACAGTTGGGGGGAATATAATCAATAATGTAAAGATTTTGTAGGGTGTCAGACGGGCACTTGTCTTATTAGGGAGACCACTTCATGGATTGGGTAGATGCCTGACCACTGAGCTGTACACCCAAAGCAGAAGCTGAATAATATTGAATGTCAACCATAATTTTATATATATATATTTCCCCTACAGGATGTAGAGTACACCATAGGGAATAGAGTCAATAAAATTGTAACAGCTATATACGATGTCAGAGGGTAGTAGATTGGGGGAAATGAGGTTATCACTTTGTGAGGGGTGTAAATGTCTAACTATTACATTGTTTTGTACACCTGAAACTAAAAAACAGAACAAAACACAACAAAAATCTATGGAGCCAACCCATTAATTCAAAAGTATTATTAAATTTACTTGGTCAATATTGCTTTTATCTCCTCTCCTGCCCACTCACCCACCTACCTTCACAATTAACTAAATATATGAGCAGTCTCAGAAATTTAAAAGATTTACCTGGGCAGAAAGGACAATATCCAGAAAATCCTGGTACTTCTTTTGAGTGTTACCCTGCTTTTTCTCAGCCTTGAAGGATTTCTTTCTTTCCTGGATTATCTGGTCTGGGGTAGAATAATAATTCCCCATTACTAAAGTGACAGCAAAGTAAATCAAAGTAAAATAAATTACAGAGCAAGCCATGGCCCATAAATAGCTTTAAATCTTGCTTAATTTCCTGAGGTCAAAGTAAGTGTATCATATTTAAACATTTAATTATAGAGACATTTTAAATTTTATTTATTTATTTATTTATTTATTTATTTATTTACTTACTTACTTACTTATTTAGCTGAGCCATCCTGCCACCTGTTGGCAGCTCAGTGACAGCTCAGCTCAGGCCGGGAATTGAACCAGCGACCCTGTTGCTCAGAGCTCACACTCTTTTTTTT